TTTATTGAACAGCAGGTGGCAGCATGGCGCAGTGTTCCACCTTGTTGCCGCTGCATCCTGAAATTAAACCCTTGATAATATTGATGAAAGAAGTGCCCCATTTAGGGTTTATTTTATGATTTATCAGCTAGAGAAACATGCAAAAGTAGTTTTTTCCATATTATGCAATAAGCATTAAGGAACTATAACTCAAAAATCCACAAAACCTTTACTTTTGAAGACTTTCTCACACACAAACGACTGTGATTTTGTACATTTCCAGCAAAATTCTGGTGACGAAGTTCTTGTGACATTTATTTCCTTTCTCTGGATGAAAAAAAAATTGATGTATCCATTCCTGTGATGAGTAAACATTTACACGAACACCTGAACTGTAGCCTGCCAGCACTCAGGTAAAGTGGAGACCTCCAACACTGGCTGCATACTTCTCTCAGCAGAGCGTCACTCAGCTGTGTGTGATGAGTGACAGTGTGAGCAGAGAGCTGTCAGGGGCATTTGCAAGTCAATGCTCAGATTGAACCTCTTCATTTTGCCTTCACTTGTGGATTTGCTGCCTGCATCCAAAAGTCCACATTTGAAAAGATGCTCATTTCTCTCTCAACTGTTAAAAAAACAGAGAAGATGAAAGCGGCAGCTGAAAAGGGAGAATATGAGTGACCTTGTGTAGGAAATTCTCTCAGATATAAAAAGTTACTTTGCAACAAGACACCAAAAGAGTAGTTTCGCTTGATTGTTACCTGTGTCTGCACATAAGTTTTTTATTTCATGGCCAAATTGTGCAAACAGCTCCAGTTACAGACGTTTGGACGATCTTGTTCCTCTTGACTGCAGGAAGACTCAAGTCACTCTTTTCTTCTGTTCCATAAACTCCAAACCGAAGGCCTGCGTTCCATCGTCTTGATTCCACAACAGCTTGTGATTAAGTCACAGGCCTGTTTTCAAACAGAACCTTGTTTTGTTTATTTATTTATGTTTACGGATCATCATTGTTCTCCTCTGTGCCGTGTTATGTGGTCCAAAGACTGAAGGAGACCTTTGAGCAGGAACAACGTTACGGCACAGCGGCGGAATTCCTGAGATCCCAGATACACATGCCTGTGGGTGTAAATGTGTCAGCGCCTGTTTTATGTGAGCAAATGTGTGTGTGTGTGTGTGTGTGTGTGTGTGTGTGTGTGTGTGTGTGTGTGTGTGTGTGTGTGTGTGTGTGTGTGTGTGTGTGTGTGTGGGTGCGTGTGTGTGTGTGTGTGTGGGTGCATGTGTGTGGATGCGTGCATTTGTGTGTGTGTGTGTGTGTGTGTGTGTGTGTCTGTGCGTGTGCGTGCATGCATGTGTGTGTGTGTGTGTGTGTGTGTGTATGCGTGCATTTGTGTGTGGGTGTGTGCATGTATGTGTGTGTGTGCGTGTGCGTGCATGCATGTGGGTGTGTGTGCATGTGAGCATGGCTGCTGCTGATGTGGGTCATTACCTCTTCTTTCCCCTTAGGGGCCATGCAGCAGGAGAGGACAGAAGGGGAGAGAATGGATTGGGGTGTGTGTGTGTGGGGGGGGGGGGGGGGGGGGGGATTGAGGAAGGTGGAGGGAGTTGTAAGGAGGGTTGAGATTGTGTGTGAGTGTTGGGAGGTGGGGTCCCGGAGGAGTAGAGACCAATAAATCACCATGCCGTCTATGTTCTGACACCCAGCTTGTCTGATGAGGGACAAGGGAGGGGGAGGGGTGGGAGAGGATAGGACTGGAGGGGGGAGCATCGTGACAACGCTGTGGCCTTGTCCTCCCGTCACTCAACCCCAACCTGAAAGCATGAGGGAGATTGGGGTGAGGTAACGAGGGGTGGGGGTGTTGGTAAAAGGTGGAATCCCATAAAAGTTTACGACCTGCGCTCTGTGATCAACCCGTTTCCCATGAGAGGACATTTTAAAGTCTGGCTGCCTTCAATCAGGGCTTAACTGTGATTTTATCGTTGAACTGCTCCAACACCATTTTTTTTTGTTTTATCATTATTTCTCCTTTGGAATTCGAGGAGAATGATGAAAAGTATTATTTTATGGCATTTTACAGTCCTTCAGCCAAAAGATGAGTTCCAAACACAACCATGTTCTGCAGCAGCTGAACTTCTTAAAGCTTCAGATTTCCTCCACATTTGCACGTTTTCCTTTCTGCACACAGGTGATTATGTTAAAGTTGTGGATATAACAAAATTAGCCTTGTTCTTTTATTTTGGAAAACAGTCAAAACAGTTTCTCTGCTCATGCCTGCGTTTGTTTGTTGCAATAAAAAGTTGTGCAGGTGTCTTTACCTAATAGGAGTCCAGACATAATGTTACACAGTAAAAGGTCACAAGGTCAGCGTCTGCCACATTTAATGTTTTTCACATTGATTTCTTCTTTCCTTTTTTAGATTTAAATTATTTTTCATTTAGTTCCACATCTGAATACATTGTTCTAATCTTTAAAAAAAACAGGGGAATAAAATCCAATGTGACCTATAAATAAACCACCAGTTCAAGTTCTGTATAGGGGGCAGGTGTGATCTCCGTTAGAATACACAGTAAACAGATGTCCCACATTTCTTATATTCTTATGTTAGTCATGGAAAAGGCAGATAAAAACGGTGCTTCTGCTTTACATTTTGGTCATCGTCATGGAGCGTTATTATAAACGCGTGAATGTTGTGCATTATGATTCTCTCATCTCCACACATCCATGTTGTTACATGCAGACTCATTTGTAAATCCCTTTCCTCCCAACAAATCGGAACGTTTGTTTAAATATAATGTGTTTGCTTTGCATGAGAAGTTAGATCAAAGTCTTCGTGCAAGTAGATGACGTTTTTGACGACTGTATTCGTAGCTTGTGGCCGTCAAACAAATGTCTGGACTTATCGTTCTTACACAGCTGAAAACTCACCTGTTCAAGCTGGCTTTTGTATGAACTTCTTCACCACTCTCTCCTTATTCTGCTCTCCCTACCTATTCCAGCTTCCTCAGGATCCACTGATTTCCCTCTTTCCTATTCACTCGCTCTCTTTCTTTGCATATTTTTTAATCACACTTGTCTATCTTAGCTCATTTGAACATATGTTTAATCATTTTCTAAATTCTTTTATATATTTAAAAATTATTTTTGTTTTTGTGAAGCACCTCATGATTTTTTTTTCTTGAGAGGTAGTATAGAAAATATTTTTTCTTCTTCTTCTTCTTCTTACACGCTTTTCATTTATTCTTGTCCCACTTGATATTTTGCTGCTCTGTGATAATTTGACCACCTGATACCTAACACACTGTCCACTCTTTCACCTTTTGAGGCAGCACATGTTCATTACAGATGCATTTGACCAAAATGTTTCTATCATCCTCATAAAAATGAGCTAAAACCAAAAGGATATGCACATTTATGGCTGTTCCCTCTTGTTGTGGGACTGCTTTGTCCTGACTGAGCTGTAGTGTGTTCAATCATTGGAGCTCTGCCAAAGTACGCACACACACACACACACACACACACACACACACACACACACACACACACACACACACACACACACACACACACACACACACACACACACACACACACACACAGACCTGGAACACTCCCTCATCTGACCTGCCAATAGCAATAATATGTGTCCTTCACTTATCATTTTCTAGCATCTATATTATCAAACCCTCCACTCCAGCACCACACAGCACAGACTCATACATCCCAAAGACCCCCCCCCCCACCCCCACCCCCAACAACAACAACAACAACAACCCACATAACGCACACAACATGAAGAGTCCCGCTGTGCAGCAACAGACGAAAAGCATTGCATTCCTCGTGACTTTTTTCTAATAAATGTGATCCCAGAATCCTGGAGGGAGACCAGAGCTGTGCATTAAAATTCATGGGAAAAAATTCCAATAAAATTTTTCTTTCTCTCTCTTCCTCTCCTTCCTTCCCGTTTCTTCCCTTCTCTCATTTTCATTCCCTCACTTCTCTGCCCACCACTCACACACACACACACACACACACACACACACACACACACACACACACACACACACACACACACACACACACACACACACACACACACACACACACACACACACACACTTTTTTCATCACCCGTGTGCAGCTCTCGTTCAATCTCCCAACCCTCCCACTGGCTCGTCTTTCTCAGCATCCCCCCTGCCGTCCTTCATCCTTTATTCTCTTCCTCCTCCCCACCATCCTCCCACCCCCCTGCTGCCTTCTCTCTCTCTCTCTCTCTCTCTCTCTCTCTCTCTCTCTCTCTCTCTCTCTCTCTCTCTCTCTCTCTCTCTCACACACACACACACACACACACACACACACACACACACACACACACACACACACACATCTATATTTTCCAACTCCACCTCTGGCAGGTTGTGATTTCCACTGTCAGAAATTGCTTTTTCAATATCTCTTTCTCTAATTATGAGCCCAGCTAAAGGGGTCATGCCACCAGAATACCAAATTTTTTCACCGTGTTTTCCCTTCTCCTGAATAATCTGTCTTTCTACGAAGATACAAAATGCATATTCACCATGAGTCATTATCCTTGTAGTGCTCCTGGTTCCTCACTGAAATTCTGTTTTGTTCTGTTTGGCATTTTTGTGTGTATGATTAATGCTCCGCCTATTAAATTAATGAATCAGGTGTTAGTGCACAGGTAATTTATCTCCATAAAATGAAAGAAACTAATATATCTTAATGCCTTACTCGGTTTTGTGGGGAGAAAATGGGGAAACCACTGAATCTTGATACAGTAAACCGCACAAGTCTCATTCTCAATCACCCCAGCAGCACCCAGGAAAGGGTTAACCTCACACAGCCCCGTGTGATTGACGTATGAAGCACTGAGCCAGCTATCTCGTCCAATCAGCAAACGGTCACCACACCCCACGTGGGGCTTCCTGAAACCTCATTGGTTCGCTTCACCAGTGTTTACCGTGCCGTGTCCGAGCCCCACGTGGAGACTTCATTCAATCACCTAACAATTCCTCAGAAACTCGTTGTTAGGATGAGTTTCTGGACATTTTATGTATTAAAAAGTCCCATTTGATCGGATGGGTTTTCAATTACGTGGCTGCGCGCGGGTGAAGCTAATAGCAACGCTAACAGCACAAGCTACCGAGGTTGCTCTGAAGGAAAAACACGATGCGTTTGTTATAAATGTGATTTTATTTTGCTGTTAAACGACAGAGAAGAGGGCATTAATGAGTATTGGATTTATAGAATAAATTATTGAGGAGAAGGAGCGTCTTGGGAGTCTCAGAAGGTCCCATGGAGGAGGATGAGAGAGCAGGGGGAGTGGGAGCAGCAGCGAGGGGCTGGGAGAGTATTGTGAAGGGAGTGCAGGCCAACGAGAGAGACAAAAGAGGCTGCGGCTGTATTGAGTGTGCTGGTGGTGTGTCCGTCTACGAAGCCACAAGCTAACCGCACCCCCCTCCTCCTCCTCTGGCCTTTATGCAGCACAAACACACCGAAGAGGGAGATCCTTCTCGTTCCAGAAATCACCGGGAAGCGAAGTTGCGGACTCTGGGAAAGGAGAGCTCCCTCTGACCGGACGGTTCTCCTCCGCTCTCCCCCGTCCTCTACTCTACTCGTCGAGTGGTTGGTGTGTGTGTGAGTGTGTGTGGGGTTGGGGAGAGATATATAACCCAGAACAAAGGAGTCTTGAGCACGAGAAGGAACGAGTCGAGACTAGCTCTGCCATTATCTTTGAAAGCAGGCCAAATGCCTGTGTGAGAGACTCGGTTGTACGTCGGCTGCTCGGGTTTCTCCTCGACGAAGCTCGCTGTCCCCAAAGAGACGAAGAAGAAGGACAAAAACACGGCGAGGACACACGCGCACACATAGGCTCGCGCGCAAGTCGGCGGCAACAATGTTTCCTCAGAACCGACCACCGGTAAGGAAGCTCTAGCTGCTATGTAACATTGAATTGTGCTACTATGATAATGTGTCTCCATGCCATACAAGGCTGTAAAAACCATTTAGTTAATTCAGGAGTATAAATGTGCTTTTTCCTGTTCTTGGTGGTTTCTGACTTCTTCTTTTGTCATAAAGAACTCTGAACAGGCTGTTGTTAATAAATAATCTAACAAATGATGGCCAGACATGTGGCATTAAGTATTGCTCGAACAACGTTGAACTTTGCTGATTATCTTTAGTGTGACTCGTGTTGGTCACCACCACCTGGTCAGAAACTTCCTACCATCGCCTCACTATTGTTCAGGTGACCCACATGATGAAAGTGAGTGTTTTGTCCCCTGATGAGGAGTTGTGAGAGGTGGGGGAGGAATTGAGTCTCGCCTTCTTCTGAATATCTACCCATCTCCAGTGACTCGTGGAGATAAAACAATCAGGTCAACAGTTTGAACCCTGATTTATTGATTCATTTCTGTAAGGTTAGGAGAAAATAATCACGCTGCATGGCTCTAATTTGTTTTAGTCAAGTTTGGATGAAGAGCTTTTCAGCTGACTCAAATACATAAACACTGGTCCTCTACTGAGAAGTATTAATTAGGACCTGCTCATTTGCCTAACCCTCTTCTACATCCCTCAGTCGTGCCACGCTGTGCCCCACCCCCTCACAGTGTTTTGACATCTATGCCAGTGACAGATTATGCACACAGTGAAGTAGAGGAACTCAGAAAGGCATGATCTTTTTACATTTCTGTAGAGTTTGTGTGCAATGCCCAAAATGCTCAACAAAGTTCTATTTTTGTCTGATAAAGAGACCCCCTTCCCCAAACACACAGAAACATCACACACATGCACACACCAACAGCTGTGTATGTAGTACAGCTAAGTGCAGGAAGGCAGCACAGGAGGCAGACTGTGGGTCTGTGGTTTGCACTGTAAACCCAATCCCTCTCATCCAGCCTTCTTCTTGCTGTGTTCCTGTGAGAGCTCCAAACCACATCTTAATGTATGGGCAGGCGTCCTGGGGTGAGAGTATGTGACTGCGGCGGGTCTGGGTGGAACGCTTTGACCGGCGGCTCCGTCTCATTTCAGCTCTCCACAAATCTCAACAGTCGTCACTACAGTCCCCGGCCATCAGGAGCTCTTGTCTGAACCTCGAAGTGAAGGGCCACTCGATCCTGCAAACTATTTAATCTGTGAAAACGCGAGAGCGGCAGTAACCTGTCATCACTGACTATTCAAGTGTTGTGATGGAGTTGACCTGTATACTGCGTTAAGTATGTAGCTCACACTTCTTAGAATAATGTGTCAAAAATGACCCAGTTTTTCTATTAAATTGCATTTTTTAAACATGGGAGGAAAAAAGACGCTTCAGCTATTAACTAAACTTAATCTTTATACAACAAGCCTTCTTTTTGACTCTTTATGTAAAGCGGAAACGTTATATTTTTCATGGCAAATACACACACACACACACACACACACACACACACACACACACACACACACACACACACACACACACACACACACACACTACCTGAGTCTAAGGAGCAGAACTTAACTGTTTTTCTTGACAAATCTCACAAATATGGTGAAAATAATACAGAAAACAACAATCTAATTACATGCTAATGATTGAAACCCCCCTCACTGTGGCGTCAAAATTACAAACGCCACGTGAATTCCATTAAAAGCTTAAAGTTTTTGTAGGTTCTCAGATGACTTTGGGATCCAGCCTGACGCCAAGAGCAGCAGATAAACAGATACTTGGTATTGGGCACTACAGGCATGACTGGCTCCCTTAAATCCTCGGTGTTCTTTCAAAGGCATTTTTTACATTGTCTGTGGGACAGAGGTCATAGTAAGTTTGGTCTTAACAATTAGCAGTATCTTTTGTGTTTGATTCTCAACTGTGGACAACTGTTTCTTTTAAAAGTTGTTGATAAAAAGGTTAAACTTGCTGGTAGATACTTGTTAAAGCTACACATTTGTAGGATATTTTGTGACATCGAGACATTGGCTTACAACAAAACATGGATAGAGAGCACTGGAATAGACGTAGGTGAACCTGGAGTAGGTGTGCATAAAAACACAAACTGAAAAAGATACACAAAGAAAAATATTGATGTAAGATGCTCCAGAAGTTGTATTGAGATCATAATTAAAAAGAACACACTTTTTTGATGCCCATCTAATGTCACTGGGGAGGTTTTCCCCTCTTTCTGTGCTGATTCTTATTTAAAGCCACCAGAAGGCATGGAAGTTGACTTCATTGGGACGGCAAAATAAAATAACATGAAGCGTTCATGCAAAGATGAGTTTGACAAAACATCATGTGTTAAGTTTACATAGTTTTTTCCATCGACATTTTTCTGTCAAAGGTTTGGAAACAGAATTAAGATCTACACTTTATCACTACACATTCTTAATAGAAGCTCAGGTTCTTGATTATGACTTGAAATAAGTGTAAAGTCTTGTTATCCAGGAACATTTAGAACAAACGCTAAAAGGGACACACTTGATCATTTACTTTTAGCCTTTTTGGTATTTCCTGGGGCTGCATAAGGGTCGGGCCTTTTGGTTCTTGGGTTAAGGCACAATGCCACAAGGTGATCAGGATTTTTCTGTTATGGCCACAAACCTTTGGAATGCATTTCCACTGAATGTACGACAAGCTTCTTCACTCCAATATTTTAAAACTCGATTTTATTCACTAACTCTTAGGTTTAATTGGCTTTTTTTGTTCTCGTCTTGTTTTTGTTATTCCTGCTGTGTCGTGATTTAGAAGACATTTTTCTTACTTTAATGGTTTTTATACACCAGTATTTGCTCCCATAGTTTTGTGTTGTATTTTACCCCTCTGGGGTGACTGAATAGTTCTCTAGAAATAATAAAAACGATGATAATGATATAAAAAGGTATTTTTGCTGTGATATTGATGTCCAGAATATCAGTATTGATTTCTTTGGACTGAAGTACATTATAGACTATTATATCACAGACACTAAGCATTCATGCTCTGCATCTAAATAATTTGTTTGGCCTCAGTGCTCTTTAGGCTCTCACTGGGTTTAGATGATTGGTAAAGATGATAAATTACACCAAGACAGCTTTTAAAAGTTGTTGTCAGCAAAGAATGTGACCTTATTGGTACTGATATCCACACAGGAATATGTAACAGTAAAATTACCCTTACATGTTTTCCTAAGCCCTGGAGCTGCCATTGTTATTCCTTTAACATCAGGGCTTGATGGAGAATTTTCTTTTACGATTAGAGTACTCAGATGACACCACGCACATCATGCGGTTCGTTCCTCCATTGTTCGTGACAGCAGAGGAGGAGCCCGCGGCTTGTTCCGCTACTGTGTGTCGTCCATGACTGTTGGCAGGGGGTGGACGAACGCCTGGCCTGGCGGGGGACCAAGCAAAGTCTTGTAATGGCTTGTAAAGTGCTGGGGGAAACCCTGCACTTGTTACAAATCAGTAAATGCATTTTGTCCTCACGGGCTCCCGTAGAAGGAAACGTTGCGTCTAATATGGTGTCGCCCAGAGACTTAAACCCACTCCTATGTATTTTAGACCCAATTTTAGTAGTATGTTATGAAGCTGCCAATAATTGTCAACAACTGGGCATCATTTCATTCATTTTCAAAAACATTTCAATGATGTTTCCAGAGATTAATGGTTAAAAACTACACATTGTATCATGCTGCTTTATTCAGATGTTTAGCATTCAAAGAAAAGTGACCGATTAAGCTATGAACCAATTGTTCAAACCTAAATCCCTTTGGTTTTCATTCCCAGAAGGGTCTTTGAGAGCAACAATTATTGTGTGTCATGTTTTATGAATGGACCAGAGAAAAGTCTAGTTCTCTTTCAATGCCATTTGCCATTGCATGATGCAATGTTAAAGGTGTGGTTTACTCATTAAATCAGTACATTTTCATTGTTTTCTAGTATAAATTAATGCCTTATAGATTAGAATAGACTTCATTGAGTCATGAGTCATTAAAAAAAGCTATGATGCTCCTGTTCTGAGATGCAGAATTTGATTGTGCAGAGGTGGGCTTAAAACAGCAGGATTACTCATTATTATTAATGATAAGCACACACACCTCGCTTCTGATTAGCTAACAGAATGCGTTCAGCCATGATGCCAAGTCACCACCGCCAAGACACTCTGTTCTCTTTCCTCACTGCAAATTATTTCTCAAAAGCCTTCCTGTGGGTGAGCATGAGCCAAGAAGGGTGAAGCTATGAATGCATATTCAGTGTGACATAGATATGTGAGGGTTTTCAGCTCCTAGAGTTTCACAGTCTAATTTCTATCAGAAGCTATTGCAGGAGATGGGTGTAAGAGACTGTTCCCCAACCCTGGTCTTCAGGACTAGCGATGGGAACCGAATTTGGTACTTTTTAAGGTACAGACCGAATTCCATGGTACCGACTGAGCACCGATTCATGTCATTTGAAACGGTGCCTTGTTTCGGTACCGGTTCTTTATAACGAGAACTTGCTTAGACAGCTGTGCATGCGCAAGAGCGTTATGTCGTCAGTCCCTGTGAGCAAGTTGTAAACAGAGCAGCATGGTAGAAAGAACGAAAGCTAAAGCTTGGGTCCACTTCACTATATGTGATGGGTAACTGGGTGATGATGAAACCAGCGACAACGATCTAAGTGAGACATCCTCATCTTAATCTGCTCCGGTAGGCAAATGAAATGTTTAAGATAACGTTAGCTTGATTTGTTAGCTTCCGTTCCGCTAATGGTGCGTTCGCTTTCTCCTCGGAACTCCAAATTTCCGACTTGAAGAACATGAACGCGCTCTAAAGTTTGGCTTCACTTAACTAAATGCGACGGGTGATTGGGTGAACATGAAATCAGCGACAACGATCTAAGTGTGAGGCATCATTGTTTTAATCTGCTCCAGCAGCTAAATAAACTGTTTAAGATAATGTTAGCTTGATAAATTAGCTTCCA